GGATTGAGCCCTGCTTTGGGCTCCCTGCTCAGCAGGGAGCCTGCTTCTCCCTCTCCCTCTGCTTCTCCATGTTGGCTCATGCCACAGATTGGAGCTCAGAGACGAGCCAGAGCTTCTTGTGCTCTGTCTCTCAAATAAATGAATAAAATCTTTATTAAAAGAACAATTGTTACAGTAAACCAGATATTACATAATAACGTATGTGGTAAAATGTGGGGTGATGATCAGGTGGAAGCCAGTGGTGAGGGCGGTAAAATGATTTACCCAAGGCAGAACAAAGGAGATAGAAGTTTACTGAATGCACTGTAAGGGAGTGGGGGCAGGGTAGCAGAGGAGAGACTGTCTGCAATGAGGCCATGGGTGGGGGCTATATTTAAAGAGGGAAGGTGAGTGGGGCATCTGGGTGGCTCAGTCAGTTGAGCGTCTGCCTTGGGCTCAGGTTGTGATCTCGGGGTTCTGGGATCAAGCCCTGCTTTGGACTCCCTGCTCGGCGGGCAATCTGCTTCTCCCTCTCCCTCTACCCCTCCCCCTGCTTGTATTCTCTCTCTCTCTCTCAAATAAAGAAATAAAATTTTTTTTAAAATAAAAATAAAAAAATAAATAAAGAGGGAAGGTGAGGAGGTATGGGGATGGAATTCTCCCTTTTTCAGTAACTGTGCCTGGTTGTAAGTAGCCCATTGGTTAGTTAGGGCCTATGGATATTTTGACGTGGGTCGCATGATGGGCCTGTCTTCAGCCAGGTGGTCGCTGTGGGCCCTTCTACCTTTATCGAATTTCCATTGCTCAAGCCTGTTGTCTAAAAGCGGCCTCTACAGTGTTTTAACGTTAAACTTACCAAGTATGATAATTTTATTGTGGTTTTATGAAGAATGTCCTTTTTCTTTAGAGGTGGGCTGAAATATTTAGGAGTAATTCAACACAATGCTTCAAAATTCTCAAATGGATTAGTAAAATCAGATAAGGGTGCAGAGGTGGCAAAATGTTAACAAAGAGTCTATAAGGTTGATTGTATTATTCTTGCAATTTTTCTGTAGTTATGAAATTTTCAAAAACAAAAAGGGAAAAATTATAAATGCAGTCACTCCTCCCAACCCCCAAGAAGACAAGTAAAGAGGAAGGCCTTTAAGTTGAAAGACCTGAGTCTACCACAACTAGCTGTGTGACCTCTGAGTTCTCATCTTCTCAGCTGGAAAATGGCAGTCACCACCTATTGTGAGCGTTTCTGCAGGACGCTGGCAGATACCATTGGTGGGATGCCCAGAACACAGTTAGTGTTCACATTTGTTCTCCCCCCCTTTCTTCTGCCTAATCTCCACTTCTCAGAACCCAGTAGATTTGCTCAGGATAAATAAGAACAACCACGTGTGCTGCTGAGTGCACAACTGAGGCTACACGTCGCCTTGCAGGGACACACCACAGCCAGCCTGCCTACCTGCCTGAGATGCAGGCTGGCTGACCCTCTGAACATCAGACCACAGGAGCAAAAGTCAGAAATGCCGCCACCACAACTTGTTGGCTCATGCCACAGATTGGAGCTCAGAGATGAGCCAGAGCTTCTCAAAGTGGGGCCCCTGGCCCATCTCAGCCGAATCAGCTGTGGCTCATGTAAAAACGCTAATTCCTGGGCCCCACCGCTAGGATCTAAGTCAGCTTCTCTGCAGTGGTGTTGGCAATGTACGTTCTAAACACTGTTTTCTAAGTGATTCTCAAGTCTGAGCACCACGACCCACACAGTGGCCATGGTGGATGTGCTACTATACAGCAAAAGTCGTCCACTGGAGAAGTGAATCCTTGTGTTTAGAGCCTAAGTCCACAAATGGGAGCAAATGGAAATACAAATAGAATTATACATAGAGATAAAAGCGGGAAACTCTCTGGGTTTTGCTAGGTCCAGACCCCAAGAATATGAATGAAATGCTGCTCCAGCCTTGGAGGTGAAGTAAACCCACAGTCCAGAGCCCCCAAATTCATCACTGTCTTAACTTTAGGACCAAAGGGATCAGAGTGGGCTCTGAGGACTGGTCAGAAGGATCTCTTTCATTCACCATGACTCAGGGAAGCTGAAAAACCAACAGTTCCCTCCTCTGCACAAGTACAATAAGCAATGATTCTACAGCATCTTGTAAACTCCAAGAACTCCAGAAATTCTAGTGACCTGGGGCTCACTTAGATTCTGCCCCCATTCTGCCAGTGCCTCTCCAAGCTGTGCCCACAGGCCTTACAGGACTCTGTCTGGGTATGATAGTTCTGTAGGATGCTACGTGGGTGAAAGAAGCTGGCACCTGGTTTCCCTGTGACCTGGTGAGGACTGGTTAGTGGATGTTTAGAGTTTAGAAGGTGGCTGGGCTCCTCTCTCTTTCAGCCCAGGAGATCAGATCTTTTGGCCTCGAAAAGTTCCCCTCTGATCTGGAGAATCCTCTATTCCAAACCAGCTCCCAGCAAGCATTTACCCTCAGGGTCTGAGTTATTTTGGGAGACTTAACATCCTGCACTCAGCCCTAGGGAAGGGAAGAAATGGACAGACAATTGGGCAGTCTCCACCCCCACCCCACCCCCAAACCCAGACAGATGACAGACGGCCATTTGCAACTTTAACTCTTTCCTGGCTTTGGCTAAGACCAATGCATCCACTCAGGAAAGCCTCAGATGACAGCATGGTGACCATTTTAATTCAAGAAAAAAATTGTAGTGGGAGAAAATTATGCATGGAAAGTGACTTTTAAAAATTGTCTTTAAATGTTACAGCTAAAGTGAGAGGATGGAAATTGCATCAAAAGAACATTTTCTGTGTAGGTTCTAAATCACTTTCCCAACCATAGGGCTTAAAGTAATATTTCACCTTTTCAGGAACTCCGAAGTTTATTTTGGAGATGAGGAGAATCAGATTAAACTCCCCAGATTTACAGTTTTACACACTAGCACAAAGTCATTCACATTAGAACCCAGGTAAGTGAGATCTTGGAGGTTTCAATGTTTGCTGCCTCTACGCCTTCTTTTTCAGTTCTTCCCTACAGAGCGCAAAGCTCTCATGGCAGAGCTGGTCAGTCTAATATCCAGCCTTGCACAGGAGAGGTGTTCAGTGGAAGGAAGGGAGAAAGAAAGACAGGAAGGAGAGAGTCTGGAATGATTCTCAAAGGGTGACAAGTGCCGTTTTGCATATAGAATGTCTGGACTTTCTCAGTGGTGTGCTTTATTAGGGTCTGAGGTGATAACTCATACTTAAGAACGGTGATTTGTGGGATTTCTATTGGATTCGATTCCACACACAGTCACTCAGGGCCTAGCATTTGGCAGGCACTGAGCAAAGCCTGGGGGTGGACAGAAATGAATAATGCACAGCTCCTGCTACCTGCCCTCCAGATGTCTCTCAAGGACAAGACAGTCACATATCCTGGGTACCTGGCATCCCAGAAACAAATAAACCTGACTGTGAGACCCCCAGAGAAAACCTGGTGGTGCTAGTAGGTTTGCATTTAAGTCCTCCTCAATTGCAGAAAAATGATGCTCTGTTCTTGAACACTACTTGCCTCTTACAAAACAAAGCAAGGATAGACTCCCTTCTCCATCTCTGACACCCGCCTCCTCCAGTCTACATCAGCTCTGGCCTGCCCTGGTCCCGGTTCCTCACAGAAGCAGTGTGACTTGGCCTAACCAACCCTGGAGGTATCCCTGATTTCTCACTGCCCCCAGCCTCTTTGGGACCTGGACTGACCTAATGTACCACCCACCTGTGGTTTCTTCCTGCCACACTTTCCACTTTCCCCTTGCCCATGGGCTCCACAGCCTCTTCGGCTGGGCCTTTACGTTGCCTGACCCAGAACTTTATGCCCTCAGACATTTCTGGTCCACATCTGGCTCTTCCTGGCCTAATTTGTCTTACTGGCAATAAGCTCCAGGTGCCAATGTAGCCTTCAAGACTGCCATCAGACTGATAGTTGGGACTGAAAAAGTTACTGCACCCAGTAGGTTCACAACCTCCATAACTTATGCTGCAATCACCACAGGACAGGTGATTTGCATCACTGCAAAGCAATTAGCTGGAAAGCAAATTAGTTGAAAATTTTCTAAGGAATTTTCAAACTGGCTTTCAAACTTCAGCTATAGCAGAATTACCTGGAAACAGGCTTGCTGGGCCACAACCCCCAGTTTCTTTCTTTTCTTTTTTTTTTTTTTAAAGATTTTTTATTTATTTATTTGACAGAGAGAGACACAGCGAGAGAGGGAACATAAGCAGGGGGAGTGGGAGAGGGAGAAGCAGGCTTCCCGCCGATCAGGGAACCCGATGTGGGACTCGATCCCAGAATCCTGGGATCATGACCTGAGCCGAAGGCAGACGCTCAACGACAGAGCCACCCAGGTGCCCCAACCCCCAGTTTCTAATTCTGAAGGTCAGGAAGTCAGAATGACAATTTGTATTTCTAACAAGTTCTCAGGTGAGGCTGATGCTCTGGCCCAGGGACCTCACTTTGAGAATCTCTGCTCTAGTCCAGTGGTTTTCAAGTTTGGCTGCACACTGGACTCACCTAGGGAGATTGTTTTTCTTTAAAGATTGATCTGGGGTGCCTGGGTGGCTCAGTCAGTTAGGCGTCTGCTTTAGGCTCACGTCGTGATCCTAGAGTCCTGGTATTGAGCCCTGAGTCTAGTTCCCTGCTCAGAGGGGAGTCTATGTCCCCTCTTCCTCTGCCGCTCCTGCCCCCCCACCACTGGTGCACACGCTCTCTCTCGCGCTCTCTCTCTCAAATAAATAAATAAATAACCTTTAAAAAAAAAAAAAGGTTTTATTTATTTATTTACAGCGCTTGCATGAGCAGGGGAGGGGCAGAGGGAGAGGGAGGAGAGAATCCCAAGCAGACTTCCCACTGAGCGCAGAGCCTGATGCAGGGCTCAATCTCACAACCCTGAGATCATGACCTGAGTCAGAAGCCCAACCAATTGAGCCACCCAGGCACCGCTGGGAGTTTTTTTTTTATTAAAAAAAAATACAATGCCTGAATCCATCAGAAATTCTGATTTAACTGGTCTGGAATTCAGACTGGTCACTGGGTACTGTATAAGTTCTGTAGGTGATTATAATGTTCAGCCAGGGTTAAGAACATCTGCTCTTGTCCATTTCATTAGCAGAGGCTGGGTTAGGGGTTGGGAGCCTTTTTTATCTCGCACATGGACAGATAAATATAGGACACCCAGTTAAATTGGAATTTCAGATAAACAACGAATAATATTTCACTGTATGTCCCAATTATTGCATGGATGTCCTTTTTTGCTATTGTTTTGTTTTTTCTAGATCTGGCAACCCTACCCTTAGACACTTCCATAACACAGAATGGGAAACAATGATCTGCCAGCTCCTATTTTATAAATAGTAACACCAAGTCACATAGGAAGTCAGAAGAGGGCCGGGATAAGAACTCAGGAGTCTTGACCTCAGTCCAGAGCTCTTTTCCTTCCATCACACTTAACTGTGCTAAAGACACTTGTACCCTTTTCTTGTTAGGGGGTTATTGTCAGTTGCCTGGAGGTGACTTCAAAGGAGTCAGTATGATTTACACCCTCTCTGCTCCTGTGCCAATCCTCACCTCCACCCCCCTTTCTACTGTTGCAGGTATCACAGAGGTTGTCCTAGGATACGGCCATTCTCAGAGCCATATCTTAATGGCCACCTCAGGGAGGAAGTGGACTGGAAGTGGCACTGGTCAGAGACAGCTGTGAGCGAGAGCCCATAATTGGGTAACACAAGGACAGGTGGGATTTGGCACAGGCAAACTACAAGTAAAGCATGTTGGGAGAGGCCCACTTAATTCGCAGAGACACTCGGAATTAGTTGTAAATTCTCTGGGAAGAGATCAAGGCAGCGGCATAAACAGTTCAATTAAACTGTCGGCTCAATGCTCAATGTGTGGTAATGGTCAAAACACAGCCTTTAATCTAGATATAGAGGATTATCTTTGGACCCATAATGAGATTCTTAAGATTAGTTGTACCTGAGGTGGAGAGAACAGAGCTGGCTCAGTGACGCACAGATAGCCTCGAATGTCAGCATGACCAGGACTCTTGTGAAAGGGCTACCTGGATGCCACAACCTTCCTGGAACCCGCTCTGGATGCTGGGAAGACATGCATAAACCTCATTCGGCTTCCTCTGCTTAAGAGAACAGCCTGGGAACAGAACACCAGAACACATCTGCTTCAAAAACTCAGCAAGTCTGCGATGTTCCCACCTCCAGACCAAAGTTAATAGCCACTAGCACCAGGTCCAAGGCAGAGATGCCAAGCTTTAGCCCTCTGCCATTCTGCCCTCCATGATTAACTATTCACGTTCACTTGTTCATTTGACAAATACTTATCGTGTGCCTACTAGGTGTCAGGCAGTGTGCTGAACACTGTAGATATGCAGTGACCAAAAGCAAAGATCTCTTTCCCATTGTGGGGCAAGACAATAAACAAGAAAAATAAGTAAAATATGCTGTGCATGAAATGGGTCTGGGTAACATTCAGAAAAATAAAGCTGGGAAGGATAGAAAGTGTTGAGTGGGAACAACCATCCTAGATATGGTGCCCAGGGGAGGCCTCACTAAGCATGTAACATTTAAATACAGACCTGGGGCACCTAGGTGGCTCAGTCGGTTCAATGTCTGACTTCAGATCAGGTCATGATCTCAGGGTCCTGGGATCGAGCCCACGTAGGGTTCCCTGCTCAGGGGGGAGTCTGCTTGTCCCTTTCCCTCTCCCTCTGCCCCTCCCCCTGTGTAAAATCTTAAAAAAAAAATAAATGAATAAATACAGACCTGAAGGGAGTGAAGGATGAGCCATGCGGACAGCTGAGGGAAAGCATTCCAGGCAGAGGAAATACAGTGCAAAGGCTCCAAGGCGAGAGTGTTCAAGGAATACCAGGAAGAGGCAGCCTGGCTAGAGCAGGAGAGAGGACAATACAAAATGAAGTTAGGAATTTGAGGGGACTAGGTCATATAAGGCCTTGTGGGCCTCTATAAGAATTTTGGCATTTATTATTAGGGACATGGGGATTTAATGGGAGATTTGAGCAGAAGAGGGACGTAATCAGATTGAGTTTGTTTTTTTTTTTAAAGATTTTATTTATTTATTTGAGAGAGAATGAGAGATAGCATGAGAGGGAAGAAGGTCAGAGGGAGAAGCAGACCCCCTGCTGAGCAGGGAGCCTGATGTGGGACTTGATCCCAGGACTCCAAGATCATGACCTGAGCCGAAGGCAGTCGCTTAACCAACTGAGCCACCCAGGCGCCCTCAGATTGAGTTTTAATAGGATCACTGGCTGCTGTGTTGAGACAGAAGCAGGAAAATGGGTAACAGATGCCTGTGATGATCCAGGCAAGAGATGAAGGAGTGTTGGGCTGGCGTGGAAGCAGTGGAGGTGGTGAGAAGTGGTAAGATTTTGCTTATTCCTTGCTGAAGGGTTGGATGGAGCAGGAATGAAAGAAGGATGTCAAGGATGACTGAGAGTTTTGCCTCAGATCTTCTTGGAGCACTAAGGACTCCCAAATCTATGATTCCAGTCCAGATTCCTGCCCTGGGGCCCAGCACACAGCAGGAGACTGACATTACCATTTGATGACCTGAACTGAAAGAAGTAGAGGAGTCTGTTGTTTCTCCAGGCCTCTATCAATGACATAGCCTACCTCCAGATACTGGAAGGAGGATGCAGGAAAAAGAGCTGCCATGTCCCCACCTTGGTCTAAAGTGAGAAGTTGAGACAGGGCAGAAACAGAAACAGGGCCATATGGAACCCTTCCAATAAGAAAATCAGGGACAAGGGCCGGGGCAACAGGGGGGTGTGGAGCTAAAAGTAAAAAATGGCAGTGATGGGCATAATGTTGGATTTGTGGTATCAAGAGACCGGGTACCAATCCCAGCTGTGCCTCTTGATTTAATCTCTTCCTTTCAGTCATCCATTTTCCCTCTGTGAAGTGGGGTGACTGGCTCTGTGAAAGGACAGTCTGTTCAGCTCTGACTGCCTGTAGTGCTCTGATCCTTTCCCTACAAGTTCCTGTCTTCTTCAACCATTTGACATACTACTTTTCCAATATTGTCTTTAGGAAACTTTTCTGTTTCCTTTTAGAATGATTATTTCTGAATCTGTCTTGTAAGGTGTGTCTCCACCAGCTCCCAGAGGAAAACACCTGTGTGTTTTTGCCTGCTTGAAGTAAATACTACCTTAGTCCAGTTACCCCATCTGTAAACTGCGAATAACACCAACTTGCAGGGCTGATGAGTAGGGTTAATAATATACGGAATGTGTTGGGGTTGAGCAGACACACAAGTGCTCTGGAAGTTCTTGGCATAATACTATAGCATTACAATAATTTTGGCTTGCAAATTATACCCCAGCAGAGGCATCACATGGAAAAGTGGGTCTAACCCCATGGTCTGCTGAAAGTGAAATGGAAAAAATAAGTTGTGAAATATAACTTCTCTTCCTAAACCTTTGGAAAAGGCAGAGATAATTCTTCCATGTGCAACCCACATGCAGGGAACAAGCTTCCAGACCCTGGAGAGGACTTTCTTGTCCTGAGTGGCCTGGCCTATGGCCAGTGTCTAGCTGCTCCTCCTTACTGGGCCTACAAGCAGAAATGGAAGAGAGGGAGCCAGAGAGGATTTGAGGTTGGTTGAGAAATAGGGCTTACAATGAGGATGTACTTGCCTTTTGGGTTTTCTTCTATTTGGGCCTCCCTTACTTGCAGAATAATTGTTTATACAGCAGAGGAGTGATTTAAAGGGTAATTTGAGATATTTAAGTTTAAGGTTACCCAAAATAAACACCTTAGCCCAAGTCAATTTCTGGTTCTTCCACCATTCCCCAGACACATCACTCACATGCACACACACACACACACACACACACCCTAGATTATTTCCTGAGAAATGCCAAGTACGTAGATCTCAGGCAATGAAGGGGCTGCGTAGATGGTGTCTGTGACTGTGGGGGTTATAATGGTGGGTTTAAAAAACTTAACTTGCTCATAGAGGATGACAGTCCTGTCTGACCAAAGAGGGAAAGAGCAAATGGCTTGATTCTAAAAGGACAATTTGCAGTCAATTCCATTACATCAGTGTGTGCGGCTGAGTGGACGGAGCACAACCTTCAGAGGAAGACCCAAGTTGGAGTCTGGGTTCTGCCCCTTCCCCACTGTGGCCTCAGGCAGTGAAGAGGCGACAGCTCTCAGGCGCTTCTTGTCTGGCTCTCAGACTGAGAATGTGACCTCCACCACCAGCGAGGCTAGGGCTGTGTCCCCTCCGAGAGCCTCTGCCCTTCTGCCTGCCCTAACAGGTCCCACTTTTCCTACGGGGATACAGAAAAAGACTCCCGCCAAAGCCCATCTCTTAAGACACAGGTAGCAAGTGGAGATAATTAAGGACGCGGGCTGTCGTCCTATAAGTCAGCCTTCCTAGAGAATTCCTGCGACTTCGGGTCTCAGTTCTCACACCTTAGGGTAAAGCATATTCTGGGGTTTGGCGGCCAAACTCAAAGGAGGACCGGCTCTAGTGGCAGTTACCTCTTTTCCAGGCAGCTCTTCCGGCTCCACCGGGAGCCTTGCGCCTCCCAGGAAAAGCTTCACTGGGTAAGCTGCGCCCCTGCCTCGGTCTCAGTTTCCTCAGCTTTGGTTAATAATCAAAGCACGATCTTAAATTGCAAAGTAGAAACTGGTGGAAATGACATCATTTCGGCTCCACCTGACCGGGAAGTGGCAGCCCGGCCCACCTGGGTGGCCGGCCCTCCTTTGGGCCTCAGGTCGGCGGTGCGCGGGGTTAAAGCCCCGACTTCCTCAGAGGTGAGAAGGTGAGCCAACGTCCTGCCTCCTCTCAGCCGGGCGCTGAGACTGGTGCCGGGCCGGCCCGCCGCCCCTCCAGGCCGCTTCCGTCAGCCGGACTGCTAACACGCTCATTGGCAGAGAGACTCCTCCGAAGATCAGGCACGCGGGGGCTGAACCGGAGTCTCCGTCCCTTCAAGAGGGGTCGATAAGGCACCCTGTCCCGGAGGGGCCCCAGGGCCGCACTTTCTTCGCGCGAGTCACACTGTAAACTAGCAATGTCCCGGGATAATTCACCCCCGCGCCCCGCCCCCAACAGTGGGTCCCTGAAGTGCACAGCGCGCGGGCACCAGGAGATGCGCACGGGTCTGGCCCCTGCGCGCGGCGGGCTCACGCTGGCAACCTCACGCCCCAGGCGCCGGCGGGCTGCGAGCGAGGCGGGGCCAGGAGGGCCGCCGGACCCCGGTGCCCTCAGGCGCCACCCCGGGGCTGGCGCCGAGGTGGCCGCGGGTGGTGGCGCGTGCTGAGGTGGAGAGTTGCGCCAGCTGAAGACCCAGGCACGAGGAGGGCGGGGCTTAGGCCGCGGTCTGGCGGCCGGGCTCGTGGGGGGCGGGGCGGGGCCTGCGGGGGCGGGCTGGGGGCGGGGCGCGCGCGCGAGCCCAGGGAGGGCGGGGCCGCGGCGCGGGGCGGGTTCTGGCGGCCCGGGTGTCACACACGCGGCGGTTCGGGAGGCGGCGGCAGCGGCAGCGGCAGCTGCAGGCGCCGCCGGGACGGGCACGGGCGCGCGGCTCGGGCGGGCGCCGGCTGCCTCCCTCCGTCGCTCGCTCGCTCTCCCTCCTGCTTGCTCGCCGGCTGCGGGGCCGGGCTCTCCCAGCGCTCTCAGGAAGGAAGAAGGGGGGCCAAAGACGCCGACAAGTTCCCGCAGCAGCCGCAGATCCCGGCCCAGGCGGAGGCTGCGGCTCAGACGGGGCAGGAGAGCGCTCCGCGGCGGAGCGCACGGCCAGAGCGTCCCAGGCGGGGGGCGCCCGGGCCTTTCGCTCTCCGCGGGGCCGCGGTCCGGGATCCCATGAGACGCGCCCGTGAGGGGCGAGAGATCCGAAGCCCGGGCGGCGAGAGGCAGAGGCGGAGGGCGGTGCTGCAGCTGCTGGAAGCCGGGATCGGCCGGCAGGAGGCGGCGGAGAGAACTTGAACTTGGCGTCGAGAGCGGGCGCCCCGGACGCCCCCCGCCGGGGCCGGGGCGCCGAGAGACCTGGGCCGCAGCGCTGCTCCCCGAATGGCCGCGGCGGCGGACCGGGCTTCCGCGCCGCGGCCCTAGGCGGCCTCTCGCCATGGCCAAGTGGCTGAACAAGTACTTCAGCTTGGGCAACAGCAAGACCAAGAGCCCCCCGCAGCCGCCGCGGCCGGACTACCGCGAGCAGCGGCGCCGGGGCGAGCGGCCCTCGCAGCCCCCCCAGGCTGTGCCGCAGGCCCCGGCGGGCGCCTCGGCGTCCTGCGGTCCGGCTACCGCCTCCTGCTTCTCAACCTCGTCGGGATCGCTGCCCGACGACAGCGGCAGCACCAGCGACCTCATCCGCGCCTACCGCGCACAGAAGGAGCGCGACTTTGAGGACCCCTACAACGGGCCCGGTTCGTCGTTGCGCAAACTGCGCGCCATGTGCCGCCTGGACTACTGCGGCGGCGGCGGGGAGCCGGGCGGGGGCCAGCGAGCCTTCTCAGCCTCGTCCGCGTCGGGCGCCGCCGGCTGCTGCTGTGCCTCCTCCGGTGCAGGCGCCGCCGCGTCCTCGTCGTCGTCCTCCGGCTCCCCGCACCTCTACCGCAGCAGCAGCGAGCGGCGGCCAGCCACCCCGGCCGAGGTGCGCTACATCTCCCCGAAGCACCGCCTCATCAAGGTGGAGAGCGCCGCGGGCGGTGCGGGAGACCTCCCGGGGGGTGCCTGCTCGGGCGGCCGCACCTGGAGCCCGACGGCCTGCGGTGGCAAGAAACTGCTCAACAAGTGTGCCGCCTCGGCCGCGGAGGAGAGCGGGGCCGGCAAAAAGGACAAGGTAAGGCACCCCTTGTTCTCACCCCAGGTTCCTGAGCCACTGCGCGCACGGGGAGACTGAGGCAACGCTCTGGTTTCTTCATTAGCTTCGGGCTAGGACCCTGGGGTAAGGGCTCCCACGCTGCTTCCCAGTTCTTCCCTCTCGCACGCTCTTTCCTCTGGATCCTCGGCCTCTGACACAGACTCTTTTACCTGCTGCTCCTAAAACGTCCTTTCTCTGAGCCCACAGCCAGGTGCCTCCTTCGGAAGTAACCTGACCAGAGCGTCCTACCAACCTTGTCCAAGAAAGACCCAGCCAGCCCGTCCGTCCCCCAAGACCTAAAGTCTGAAAGTCAGAGCTGGCAGGGATTTAGAGGAGCGTGTTTTGTTTTTTGTTTTCTCCCTCCCACCATGCTATAGATGGGAAACTGAGGTCCAGAGCTGGGAAGGGACTCGCCCGATATTACACAGCATTCTCAGCGGCAGATCCGGACCGGCTGTCTTTAAACGTATATATGTAAATCCCTCTAAAAGCCCTGCCCTGCCCCACCCCTCGCGCCAGGTTTCCAAATCCGAGCGGCCTTTTGTACTGGAGCTGCCCTGGGAACCCCCACGCATGCTTTTCCGGTTGAAATACGCTGCCTCCAGGAGCTTTACACTTGGACAAGTCAGTTCCCACCGCCGCGCGCACAAGGGGGTCCGGTCCGCCAGTCCATCAGTTGGAAGGAGACTCACCCTTCCAATCCTCACCTCTTCCTGATCGCACCCCCCACCCCATACAGTCCCAGGAATGAGGGGGACCACTTTGTGACAACCCCCCTAACATATTAGGCCATTTTGATCCCCCTCTTTGAAGCACGCCAATTACAGCTAGACTGGACCCCTCTCTTCCCCCTTCACACTCCTGTTGCACCCTCCCTTCCCCCATAAAATAATACTTGTTCTGTCTACTTATGGTGGAAGGCAGTGTTTTGATTACATCTGAGGCCCAGCGCCCTGTCAGGCTCATGTCCCTCTTGTTCTCCCCATCACCCCCACCTTTTCCCAAAGGTAAACTTTTGCCCAGGCGTGGGCTGGGGAAGACTGAGAGCCTGAGCTCCCTTTAGGACTGGATGTCCAGACAGGAGACAGGCAGGCTCCTACCTGCCAGCTGGTGCTTGGAAAGGGATGTTTTATTTTCTAGGCAGGAGAAGTAAGGGGATGCCCTTCTTTTTATTTTTCTGCCTGGATTTTTCTCTGAGGTCCCACCCAAGAGTATCCCCTCCTCTCTGGATCTGCTAAAGGCAAGGTGGGCGGTCCCTGGAGCCAGTTTGGGGGCACACCTTGGAAGCATGGACTCAGGGTTTCCTACAAGAACCTGGGAGCCAGGTGGCCTCCCAGGTGCTTGCTGCCTTGGAGGAGGGGGATATCTCTCTGGGAGCCCCCAGGATCAAGGGCTTGTGGTTGATCTGTGAGGGAAACACCAAAGAGGCTCCCTGCTGCCTTATATGTGGCTCAGGTTTGGCTAGGGGCTGGCTTGGGAGAATCTGAAGTTCCTGCATATGGTTGGTTTGAGCAAGGCCCTGCCTCTGAAGATGGAGAGATTCCCAGCAAATGGTGCTAGACTCCTGGGCCCCCCTTGTTACTCCACAGCTACCTTCCTGGTGGGCAAATCTTTCCCTCCCACTGCTTTGTAAAGTTTTCTTTTCTGGCTTTCAAAACTTTAGTAGACTTTTTTTTTTTTCCAATTACAATTAAGAGTATTTCAAATACTGAGGAATAAAATGTCTTATAGCTAGAATGTCAAGTGTATTTGAGAGTTGGCTTTGTTCACCATCAAGTTTGTTTTTTTAAGATTTTATTTTTAAATAATCTCTACACCCAGTGTGGGGCTCAAACCTACAACCCCAAGATCAAGAGTTGCATGCTCCACTGACTTAGCCAGCCAGGCGCCTCTCACCATCAAGTATTTTTTATGGGTCTTTCCTGTGCCCTCCCCTGCTGGGTGCTGGAGCAGTCCCTCATGAATTTTGTGGCCCAGTCTGCAGTGTGGATGATGAGTGTTGTGATGGGGGTGCTGTTACAGGAGGGCTGAGGTGGGAGTGGTCAGGGAGGGCTCTTATTGTGGGGGAGGGGCAGTGACTGTGGTTGGCTCCCGAAAGAAAGCCTGGCACTTGAGGAGATGCAGATAAAGTGCCTGTGGCTGGCATTGAGAGGTTAGAGTTGTGCAGGACCCCAGGGGAACAGCAGGGCCCAGGTTAGGGAGGACCTTATAAGCTAAGCACAGTGAGGGCAAATGAAGGGATTTATGGGGTTTTTTTTTTGTTTTTTTGTTTTTTATCTCTCTTGGCTGCATTTCACTTACTGGGTTGTGACTTTGAGCCCTTTGATCTTTTGAGAAATTGTTCTGATCCAGAGACAGGAGTTTCAGCTACCAGATGTTCTTTCTAAAGAGGAAGAGGGGAGGCAGCCACAGAGGGTCACACTGTGCAGTGGTTCTCAAACCAGAACTTGGAGGGCTCTTTAAAACCGATTCATCAAGCCTGCTGTGGGTCCTGAAAATGTGCATTTCTAACAAGTTCCTAGGTGATCTTTTGCTGCTGATTCTGCTATCACACTTTTGAGGGCCGTTATGTAAGTGACTTCTCCTTAACCCTTCCCCTGGGTCTTCTGGTTGGAACTGCTTTGGGATGCAGAGACTCTAGGTCCTCTCCTCTCTGCCCTGTGTGGGGCTGTCTCCTCATCTGGGGCCAACACCCACCCCCCATTCCTGGTCAGGCAGTCTGAATGCAGCCTGGTTTTCACATTATTTTCGGCCAGACAGCTTTTGGAAGGCCAGGCATACTGTATAGATCCAGGCCTGAACACCTCGGAGCCTTCCTTCTACCACTCACCCATGGATCCAGGAAAACCCACTTCTAGTACCCCGCTTAATCTCAGACCCAGCTTCCTTTTGTCAATTGTCAGAGATAAGACAAGAACCCATAAGGCTGGGCGCCTGGGTGGCTCAGTTGGTTGGGCGACTGCCTTCGGCTCAGGTCTTGATCCTGGAGTCCCGGGATCGAGTCCCGCATCGGGCTCCCTGCTCGGCAGGGAGTCTTCTTCTCCCTCTGACCCTCCCCCCTCTCATGTGCTCTCTCTCATTCTCTCTCTCTCAAATAAATAAATAAAATCTTTAAAAAAAAAAAAAAGAACCCATAAGGCTGATGAATGCCTCGGCCACACTCCCACTCTATGTGCCAGGCCCTGTATTTGTTTTTAACATCAGGCCTGAGTTGGGAGTTACTGTGGTGTGGGGTAGAAGCTGTTGGTCCACAGATCGTCTTTTCACTGCCTCCAGTGCCACCTCCCACTGTGGTTTATCTTTGGGGGCCCTGCCTCGTGCCTCCCTATGTCACACTGAGGCATTATTTTATTCTCCCAGTGAGTACACCCCCTCCTCCCGAGCATCCAGTCTTGGGCATTATCCCTTTCAGAATCATGTGAAAGAGGGGGAAGGAATGAAGGCTGCAGAAGACTAGTCAGTAATCTCTGGCCTAAGTCTCTGGACGAGATTGTCACACACTATCTTCATCATTTGTTTCCCCGGGGTTTTGTCTTGGGGAATTTTGTGAGGTCTTTACCGAGGAGGCAGCTTTGAGCTGGATCTAGAGATGGAAATGGAATTTCAGTGCCGGGGAAGGGGCCGCTACAGCCTGCAGCAGCACTTCTGTGTCAGGGCTCTGTGTACATGTGCGGATGTAAGTTTGCGTGCATGTACATGTGTGGGTATGTATGTGTGTACATGTACATACAGAACTTCAGTATGGAGTGTGTTCTTGGAAACCAGAGCTTTCTTGCAGTGGGCCTCCATTGGGGAATGAGAGATGACATCAAATAGGTGGGGGGCTGAGTTTGGACCCCACAGGGAGTCCTTGGAACTGGTGAGCCGAGAAAGGGACGGACTCAGCCATGATTGAGCTGCCACAGTGGGGGATGGGGTCAGTGTTAGGGGACAATTAGAGTCCAGGTGAGAGACTGTGAGGACCTGAGCTCCCAGGAAGAGAGAACAAAACTGGTCAGTAGAAATATCATTCCTTCGGGTTGTCTTTATAAAAAGTAACCATGACAGAAGAAGCCAGTAACTTACTTGGTTGGTCTCCCTTTGTGCAGCCGAACAGGTCTCATCCCGTTACGTTTTCTGCTGAAGTCTTGTTTCTTTTATCATAATTAAGTAAATGTTTCCACCACAACTGAGAAAGTCAAGATGCATGATGACATCAGTTTCCCGAGTTTTAAATACATGCTAATGTGTACCAACACTTTATATTTTGTCAGCATCCACAGGGTTGAGTTAAATAACATGTTTCCTAAAGAATAATATCATGTCTAACCTTTTTTTTTTTTTTTTAAACATTCAGCAAACAGTTTCTGAGCAGCCTGCTAGACAGGGGATATTCAGAGAATAAATGGTGGCCAGCTTCAGCTTTCCAAGAAGGAAGATTCTCTTTTGCAGTTGAACACTAGCTTCTCAAGGTCTAGTCTGGGAGACAGATAACCGCCAAGGAGACCTAAGGAATGCCAAAACAGAAGTGTGTGCAAGGGGCTGGTAAGGCCTCGACTCTGGGAAGTCCAAGAGAGCTTTCAGGAGAAGGCGACATTTGAGCTGACTCTGGAAGGATGAGTGGGAATTTCCTAGGCAGGGATGAGGGGGGAGGGCTGTCCATGCAGAAGGGATAGAACAGCTTGTGCCAGGGCCTGGAGGCTTGGGAGGGAATGGCTGGAGGCTCAGCAGAGTAGGTGTGGTGGGGGCATTACAGAGGGAGGTTGGAGTCAGAAAGGGAAAAGAGTGTCTTATGTGCCTTGCTGGGGAGTTGTAACTGGTCTTTTGGGCCTTTTCACATGCAATCATTGATGTATGGCTTGATTGAAGCCCGAGTCAAACATGAGTTGTCAATTTCCATTTGGTTAATGGACATATTCTCAAGTTCTTAGAAAGTAATTGATGGAAAAGGTAAGAGCCAAAGTTGGTATCTGTGGTTTGGCTTGGGATACTTTCTCCTT